TTCTACTCTCCAGCCAATTTTCTATCCAATTTAATAACATTTCCCCCACCAAGCGGATTATACCATAATTATTTATATGTTTGTTTGTTTTGAATTTCTTGCAAAGCTACACGAGGGCCATCTGCACTAGCTGTGCCTAATTTAGCAGTGTAACACTAGAAGGAAGACAGCTACTCATCACCTCTCACCATCAACTCTTGGGCTACTCTTTTACCAATGAATAGTGGAATTGACCATCACATTATAACACCCTCCATGGCTGATATGGCAAGTCTGTTTGGTGTGATGGTGTTTCGAACCCGCGACCCGCAGATTACGAATAAAGCACCCTAACCACCTGGCTATGCTGGGCTGACATTTTTTAATCATCTAATCATTATTTCGTTCAATCAGTTATTTTACACGACACTAATTGATGCTACTAGGTAATTAAATTTTAAAATTCATAAAGTCAATCACCCAGCTCTAAATGTACAAGTTCTAAACTCAGTCCATCAGGTTTAAATTTTGAAGCATATTTTTAATTTTTCCTGCACTAAACAGTTTTGTATATAATAAAAATACCTTTTCAAATGAAGGATGCTTTTTCCCTCGAGTACACTTAACGATGATCATCTGTTACTGCCTTCATTCTCCTGCTACACTAATATCTAAATAATTAACTCGGATATAACCACGTGATGTTTAATTATGGCACCAAAAAGCACGTTGAATGTAACCCTTTAAGAAATAAACAATTTAAATTTATTACATAATTTCTGATCTATATCCAAGTATCTTACTTTGTATGATTTTACCCCTGAATAACAGGTTCACCAGTTGAAATCACTAGGATTTTTTGATCTTATTTACCAAAATAAGTGACCCTTTGTAATATTTTGACGATGGTAAATCTATCATCAGAATGAAACATAATCTCGATTTTTTGAAGTCTAATTATAAAAACCTGCATAAGTACAAGTACTCTCACGGCCATAGCATTTCAGAAATTTCTGTTTATGCAAATATATTTAACTAACTGAATGTGTTTAACTAAAATATATTTAACAATGACAGATGTGCATTGCTACGATAAAAAGAAAGTTTATTAATTACCTTAACTGAGAGATATTCAAATTATACATCTGAAATCCTGTCAATGATAATTTTATTTCAAAATGTAAGCTGAGTATCATATATAAAACTTAAAAAGCTATTTTCATTTCATGGAAAGAGTTTCATATGGCACCCCCACACAAAAATTGTGGAATTGCCTGGATAAAAAAAAGATTCTGAATT